CCTGCTTCCATCTCCAGGGCAGCAGAGGGGTGGAGTAGCTGGATGCACAGTGGCGCAAGGGATGTGGTGAGAGTGGTAGCAGTGACCTGCAGGGGCAATGCCAGCGTCTTGTCTGAAGCTGAAGGAGATGTTTGCCCAGCCGTGCTCAACAGGAGGAAGCATTATAGAACACTTGTATAATATCCTAAAAGCAGTTATATCAATGGGGGGAAATGACCTTATGTCCACAAAGTCTAGCATCTATTTAATCTGGTTGGTTTTTCCCCTCATACATAAGAAGTGTGAATAAACATTGTATATTGTTGTTACAAAATGTTAGCAGGGAAAGTTTGACATGATTTTAATGTTGGATAGTGCCAGTGCTGCATGTGATGCTTGTCAGGGACAGAAAAGCAAAAGGCATCTGCCCTGACGGTCTTGCGATCTAAATTAAAACACTGCAGAAAAATGTAAGACAGAGAAGAGGGGTACGAGTAGAATGAGATAAAAGGTAGCAGAGAAGAAATATTTGTAGATGCATTAGTATGTTACGCTGGCTTTGTTTCACTTCAGGATAGTTTGCAGGTATGCTGAGAGTGGGCAGGACCTCAGCACTTACAGGCTCTACAACACACCTGGACCTTTGTGTGAACAAATCACTGGAACATGATTTTGAAAAAAAACACAGGCAAATGTAAAATGGACCGTCCTGGCTCCCAGGCAAACCTATTAGGCAGGAAACCCCACTGCACTCAGTACAGTGGACCCTCTACTTACGGAATTAATCTGTATTGGAACGGTGGCTGCAGGTCGAAAAGTCTGCAGGTCGAGTCTCCATTGACCTACAATGCATTGAAAACCGATTAATCCCATAACCGGCCATATTTGTTCCATTTTTGTTCCATTTTGGGTTTTTTCCGGTCTGTAGGTCGAGTCTCCGGCTGCAAGTCGAACCTAAATTTTGCGGCCAGAGAAGTCTGTAACTCGAAAAGTCTGAAAGTCGAGCTGTCTGTAAGTCGAGGGTCCATTGTAAATGGTTTTAGGATTATATTGTCAATATGCATGTTCATACATCTTGCTTTCCACAGCCCCATACGTCCTGTTTCCAAATTCCCCTGCTTTGACAAGCATTTGTGAATTTTTGCTTCAGCTGGAGAAAATTAATATAATGCTGCTCTGGCTTCTGTGCTGGGAGCCCAGAAATAGGTACAGTAAAGTATATTGCCGTGTTTATCACACAAATGTAGGCCGGCTTCTTATGTTCTTTTGAATTTTCAGGACAAATCATATGGTTGATTCAGGATGGCTTAACGACATTGTAGGCTTACAATACATTGTTTGGCCCTGTAAATGAACCATACATCTATATGTATACACAATAAAATGGAGACTATAAGATGCATTTTAATCAATCTTCTTGTCCAAAACTTTCCCAAGAGCTTGTGAAGCAGCACTGGGAGGCCTTTCAACTTTTTGTGTGCCTTCCAAATTGCTGACTTTGACATAATTTGACTATACAATAGAATCTGCAGCATTTGGCACTGCAGCAAGGACTGCCTGTGGAGTGTCTTATAATTATGCTTCCTGCTAAGTACCATTTGCCCTTGGGACACGGTCTGAATACTTTCTACATTTCTAGTCGACCATGGCTTTCTGTTCTGCTCTGTGCATGTATAAATAAATGCTGGTGGAATTGAATGCTGAATGCCTTTACAAATAAATAAGGTGAAAATGTTTGCAGAGTGTGAATTGAGACCTATAGACTGTAATTACTAGTTATTCCCACTTGATAAGAGTATACACGTTTACTTAAAATTTCAAATACTCTCAGCTGCGGCTCTGTTAATTCCTGCTACATACTCATTAGGGAACAACTTTTTTTTTTGTTTGTTTGTTTTTGTATAGTGGCAAAACCAGAACTATATTCTTCATTTTTGTTTTAAAACAGTTATAAAAGATAGGAATTCTCTTGATCCAAACTACTTTACCTTGCATATTGATATGCCTAATGATGATCCATCTTAGACTTGTCCTAGATTTAAATAATCTTAGTATATTACTGTCTTTAGGTCTGGTAAATGCAGTGTCTCTTGATTTTGTTAAACTCACAAGATACCAAAGCATGCTTATCTACAAATTAACTATTTCCTGATTTTTTTTTTTAAAATGAAAAAGTTGCACTTTCCTAGTATAATGTATGAATAAAGGGAGCAATGTTTGCTGTGTGGAATTTCGTTGTTGAACTCACTATGGCAAATTGCCACTAACAAGGCACCAGCTGCATTACTAAGCATGTACCTTTAGCTTTTTGGGGTGCAGGCCTTGTGACACAACCAGCTCCTGGTTAGTTAGTAATTTAACTTGGCACACATGTAAATCACCAGTACTATTTTGGCTAGCATCTGAATGAGTAACAGTGCCGTTCTATACATACCTGCCTTACTTAGAAGTAGGTCCAGTCAAAGTTCTGTGGGAACGTGGTGGTTGCAGGCACAGTTTAAATGTACACATAACTGGGGAGAGTATCTGTTACGTAATTTGAGAAACCTCTTTGGATTATCTGGTAGTTGCAGTACTTATTGCAATAGCAAACACCTAAGCAAGGAGTTAAGTGCCTTTGTTTCTATAGATATCATATAATTTTAAGTAGATTTCTCTAGTCTGTAGTATTATAACACCTATTTAGGGAAATAAACTTTATGGAGTAGCTGTAAAGATTGTCCTGAAAATATTTACTTTTTCACTTCTCTCCAAAAATATGTTTATTATGAAAAGCAGTGGTAGCAACAGAAATAGGTTTTAAAATATATCTTATGTCCCGTCTTAACACTAAGTTGTATGTTGTGATGTTGTAAGCAGGAGCAGGTTTGCACTCTGCATGCACGGCCCTTCTCCCTCCTCTTACATGCTGCAGTTTCTGCATATGCATCCAGGTTTCTGGCAAGCCACAGTATGCTGGTTTTTCTGGTTTGGAAGACAAGGCAAATATAGTTTCATGAGAATCCAGATTTAAAACAAGCTGTAGCATACAAAATTGAGTCAGCCCCTTGGCATGTTACGTCATGGTTTGGCATTCTGTCTGTCTAACAGATCATGATCTGGCATTGTATCTTGACAAGCACCGGGGGTCTGCCAAGTTGTACCCTCCCTGCTGGTGGATGGTGTCTGATCCAGTAGAGGTCTCGACAAAAGGGTTATTTATGATGCATCCCCGTGCTCTTGCCTGCAGTCTATTCCAGAGAGTAGAGCAGCACTTTGGAAGAGCATGGGAAGTGGCGTAGAGGAAAGGGAAAACAGGAGGAAATTACCTCTTATCCTTTCTACTCATAGAAGTTTCTGCTTCCTGAAAGCCATCCAACAATGGAGGAATGCAATTTTATAAAACTACATATAGTTATACATGTAACTACATTGGTTTGCATTTTGAAGTCTGTATGGTACCACCACTAACATAAAAGCATAAGAGCCAAAGAATGAATGAGAAGTATTTTGACATGGACCAAAACACATATTTTTCCTTAGAAAATGGAGGATAAATGTGTTTGTAGGAAAAAGCTCACAGTAAAACCACACAATTCTTTGCTAGAATCTTTTGCCAGGAAAAACGAGACCTTGGTTTGTCCTCATTCACCACATCTGATTCAGAAAACAGGTGACAACAATCACGTCCAATGTCATCTGTGCCTTCAATTATTTCCCAAACCCCAGGAGCTAATTACAGCCCTCAAGCACTGCTAGGATCAGCTGACTTCAGCATCAGACTGTTTTGGCCTCCCGGGTGCCTATGAATAATTGTCTATTTGTGGAAAATAAATTAATTATTTCTGTGATTTATATTAAAATGTGGCATATCCAGGAGTCTGCTCAGATGGCAGCAACTTTAGGTTCAGAAGAATGGAGACTGAGAATAATAAGTAAAATAAAGTGTAGTAAATAATGGATTTCCATTGTGGAGAAAAAATGTATAGAAAGATGTTACTTTGAGACTGATTTTGAAGTGACACGGACCTATGCCACCAAATATGCAATCCAAGCTAGCATTGTAAACTCAGGAGTTCCTTCCACTTAAGGGAAGTAAGGACTCTGTCATAAATTTAATATCTACAGCTCAGTTCAGTTCTGTCTTCTGCAGGCGCTGTAAACATAGAATTATCTTCTGAGTGGCCTCCATGATCACGCTATTCTAGAAAAATTGTTACTTGGCACTTACAAAGCATCCCCGTCTAGCCTGCAAAAGCAGGGGATCAAACACCCTATCTTTGCCATACTTTCCTCCTGTAGAGCTATTGAACTACAATGTATATTTGTGAATTAATTAATCCGATACCTCTCCGCCATTCTCTCAGCACAGAGATCCAAGGTAGCTTGCAAAGATTGTTAATGCACAACTATTAAAACAAATAAAAATACAACGAATTACAGTATTAAACAAAAACAGTTAGACATGCGAATTATTAAAACAATCTAAAAACACATTTAAAATATAACAAAGGCAACTCCTCTTCCATACTGGCAATTTACTTATTAAAAAGCCCATCTGAAAAGAAAGGTCTTAAGGACAGCAGAGAGGACACATGGCTGGTCTCCAGTGGGAGTTCCACAAGCTGGGGGCAGCCACCAAAAAGGCACTTATATATTTGTATCCTTCCTTTCTTTAAGGCACTCAGATTGACATACATAGGGTTATCTCATATTATTCTCACAGTAGCTTTAGTGGGGGTAAGAGAGAGAGAGAGAGAGTCTGGTTCTAGTTTTTCAGTGCATTTCCTGGATGATCTAGATTTGAATCTGTGCTTGCTTGTATAAATTCAGTGTATTATTTACTACAGAGCACTGTCTCTTTGTGGTGTCAAAGCCAGCATCAAAGGATTGGGTTCTTTGTGTGTTGGATAACCAGTGATGAAAGTAGAATAATGTTAAATATATAGAAAACAACCAGTTAAAAACAAATGTGAGGTATTTTAGTTGCATGTAACTGAATCATGAACTCACCAGCTCTTTCTCTTTATTTACTTATTCAGATCAGTTGTTCCATGTGTTGGCTATGCACATGCGTCTCTACAGCATTGATTCTGCGTATAATCCTTGGAAAAAACTAACACAGTTGATAAATGATGAGAATTTTCAGTAAGTACATACAGTTGTTTAGAGAGATTTCCCCGTGAAGCAAACTTCTGATACACAAAGCAGATAGATATACTTGAATACCTCGTTCAGTGGATTTGTATAAAAAGTGTTGCTTACTACTATACAACACTATCTTTGGAAACCAAGCCCTATAAGGAAAATCTGAAAGAACTGGGTATGTTTAGCCTTGAGAAAAGAAGACTGAGGGGAGATATGATAAGCACCTTTCAAATACTTGAAAGGTAGTCATACACAGGAGGGGCAAGATCTGTTCTCGATCATCCCAGAGTGCAGGAAACGTAACAATGGGCTCAAGTTAAAGGAAGCCAGATTTCGTTGAATATCAGGAAAAACTTCCTAACTGTTAGAGCAGTACGACAGTGGAACCAGTTACTTTGGGAGCTGGTGAGTGCTCCAACACTGGAGGCATTCAAGAAAAACTTAGATAATCACCTGGCAGATATGCTTTGATTTGTATTTTTGCACTGAGCCAGGGGGTTGTACTTGATGGCCATATAAAAGACCCTTCCAACTTCACTATTCTATGTTTTTATGATTGATAAGTCCTATTCATGTTAATGTGTTTATTTTTGTTTGGATCAATATTGGATTTAGCCCTGAATTTTCAGCAACCTATCCATACATAGTTTAGCCATATAGCATTGTATCTGAACACTTGGGGATTAAATCCAATTGTTAATCTCAACTGAAGTTTTAAGATAATATTTATGTAATTCCCATTGATTCAGTGGGTCTGCTTAGAACTAGAGACGGGCTATTCATGTTCATATCTCTGGAGATATGAATACAAAAGTAGCACCACAGGTGCCATGGAGGTCCATTCCCTCCCTCCCGAACCAGCTGGTCTGCTCACTGTTTGGTGCATGGTGCTCAGCACAGCCATAACTATCATCACATCAATCCTGGAAGGAGCCCAGTCGATTCCTCCCTGCCTCCCCGTGCAACTGACCAGTTATCGGCTGAGTGCAGAGACTCCCTGTCCTGCCTCCGTGCCGGAGTGGTCATCTGTGCGGGGTGGCAGAGAAGAGCCAGGCAGGCTCCTGCGATCAGTGTGATGATGATGACAGTGCAGCCGAGCACCACACACCAAACGGTGAGTGGACCAGCCAGCTCTGGGGGGGAGGGAATGGGCCTCTTTGGCACCTGTGGCACCACTGTTTGTATTCATATCCCCAAATGGATTTTGCCCCGACTGCTTCCATGGCAAAAAAGGCAAGTTGACAGTAAGAGGTAGTTCTTGTTATTAGACTGCTCTGTGTATATGCCATCATGGTGCATTTTGATTCACTTTACAATATTTGCTTAATCATAATCTGATACTCCATACATTTGCAAACTGTTTCTGCATCCGTATTTGGGAAGCTACACTTATCAGCTTCTCTTATATGCACTGAAGGGATTAGGAGAACAGCCTATTTCAATACTCTAAATAGGCTTTGCAAAAGGTAGTTTTCAATGTCATGAAGAAATTATTCAGGCTTTTAATAAATGACAGAGCAGTTTTTAAACTGCTCAGTGTGCTCCGGCACTTGACGTAACTACGGAAGCTTATCTAAACCTTGGCGTTTTATATATTATTACTTCATCTGTTCTAACAGAATGGAACAGATGTAGGCAAACTTGTTCCCTCAAGTCTTCCAGATTTTTGTACTGTTGCCAGGCATCCCAGCATGCCATGTAAACTGAGGCATTTAATGGATCACGCAAACATTAACATCACACTTGGATCCTTTAAAATGGAGTTATTTTTATCTCTGAGGGAAAAGTTTTGAACTACAAATATTAAACATTTCTCGTCTTTCTCCAGTTGAAAATTGAGAATTCATTGCTCAAGTTAACTTTTGTTTTTTAATAAAAATGTATAAAAAGAATTTCTGTAGATATAAATAGTCCAAAAGTAAATAAGCACATAACTATTAAGTATCAACTTGAGCTAATTCTTTCCGCTGATGGGGATGGGGAGTCTTTGTGTTTACATACACCTTTAGTATCAATGTTTCTATATACAGTATATCACAGATTTCAGTACACCCCCTCACATTTCATAAATATTTTAGTATATCTTTTCATGTGACAACACTGAAGAAATAACACTTGGCTACAATGTAAAGCAGTGAGTATACAGCTCGTATAATACAGTGGTGCCTCAGTTTATGACCATAATCAGTTTCAGAAGATGGAAGTAACTCAAAATGGTCATTTAAGTCAAAGCACCATTTCCCATAGGAATGCATTGAAATGCAACTAATCATTTCTGGCCAAAGAAAAAAAATCACAAAAAAAATCACAAAAAAAATCACTGCAAGACTCATTGGAAGTGCGATTAATCCCTTCTGGCCAAAGGAGGGGGGGAAGCAATCAAGCATGCAAGACGCATTGGAAATGCACAGAAAACAAACAAAGAGTAGTGTTTTCTAAACCTCAACCCCCATCTCTGTTGTATGCTTTTCTTAGAAAAGCAACTTTTGTTTGCACTTCACCAGTTTGTTTTGCAGAATATCCCGTGACTGCTGACATCTATCATGGCAGCGATTCTCAATGTTCCCAGTTTGGGGACCCTGGGAATCGAAAACAGAGTCTGGGGACTTTGCTGAAGCCTCAGATGATTGGGATCTAACTACTATCTTAAAGATCACCTAAGGAACCTGATAAATGGCACAACTGAATTCAATTAAAGATAGGTGCAGGCATTCTAAATGTTATATTTAACCAATGAATGGATTAAGTACTCATACTGTTACTTCGTCCTTTAAAAGTCCAGAAAGATTAATGAATAATCATTTATCAAGCCTGTCTTCCTATATAAACACCCTGGGAATAAGCACCATTGACTACAAGGGACTTACTCTTGTATAAAAATAGATAGCATTGCATTTTCTAAGTGTTACATCACAGGATTGCAGAGCTCCATTCCATAATATATGGTGAAGTTCTAATGATATATTTCTGATATGTTTCTTAAGTACTATAATTTTTCAAACCTTGACCTATTGCTGCCATGTTGTCTTCCTTCCTTCCTTCCTTCCTTCCTTCCTTCCTTCCTTCCTTCCTTCCATCCATCCATATGCTACCTATCTAGCCAGGCTATTTTGGGTGGTTCACAACACAATCAAACAAAAAACATAATTGGAAGTATATAGAATAAATTCAACATAAAAAACATCATAAAATATAACCATTAAATAATCACATAATAAAATATTAGATATATTTCAAATGGTACAGAGGGCAGAAAAACCTTTTCATCAACGGCTGTTTTAAGACAAACATGTTTAGGTTTCTTTTGTTAATTTCCCTACTTACCAGAAAAAGACATTGCAGGGCCATATTTTGGATTAAAAATAGAACTATGCGGAAAATGCCTTAAAATTACTTCCGTCCCCCACTCTGTCAAACAAAAAGCAATTTGTAAGGCTGGCCAGAAGATAATCAAGTGTGTACCATAATACAATCTTACCGAAATCCTTTACGGGATACTTTTGAATGCAATGCAATCCACCAATTGTGATTCGCTTTTGATGCCTTTTTAATTCTGATTTTATGAGTCAAGTCTCTCTGTGTCTCTCTTTTTTTCTCACACGCACACACACACACAAACACTTTGGAAGGTTCCTTTTTTCATGTTTTTATGAAAGAGTCAGTTTCTCACACACAACCTCCCTCACTAAATTTTCAGCAATCATTTGCATCAGTTCAGTATGTTCCTGTTTCCTCTCATTACATTTAAACAAGCTAATGAATCTACCCATTCCTCTCTCACACCTTCCTTCCCGCCTTAATTGGAGCTTTCCCTCCTGCTTGCAGTCACCTCCAGCAGAAATAGTAATTCACAAGCTGGATTGACTGCCCCGGGCTGTTCTACAGCAGTAAACAATAAAGCAGCCTTCTCCCTGATCTCTAAAAGAACTGCTTTACAAGTGCCACAACCAAGGAAGGTAGCAGGGATAGGTGGCTTACAATCGTACAGTTTGAGGTTCGGCTGTGGGGTGGGGGGGTAGCCCTCCGCTCGCATGCCCATGGAGAGGTCTCCGCATGCCACCTGTGGCACGCGTGCCATAGGTTCACCATCACTGGCCTAGGTTATAAGAAGATTGAAACTGAGCTGCAGCACAGTGGCCAAGACCACACAGCAGTTTAACAGGACAGGTTCCACTCAGAACAGGCCTTGCCATGGTCGACCAAAGAAGTTGAGTGCCCGTGCTCAGCATCATATCCAGAGGTTGACTTTGGGAAATAGACATATGAGTGCTGCCAGTATTACTGCAGAGAGAGGTTGATGCGGTGGGTTGGGTGTCAGCCTGTCAGTGCTCAGACCATACGCACACTGCATCAGGTTTGGTCTCCAGGGCTGTCGTCCCAGAAGGAAGCCTCTTCTAAAGATGATGCACAAGAAAGCCCGCATACGGTTTACTGCAGAGAAGCAGACTAAGGATTTGGATTTCTGGAACCAAGTCCTGTGGTCCGATGAGACCAAGATAAACTTATTTGGTTCAGATTGTGTCAAGCAAGTATGGCAGCAACTAGATGGGGAGTACAAAGACAAGTGTGTCATGCCTACAGTCAAGCATGCTAGAGGGAGTGTCATGGACTGGGGCTGCATGAGTGCTGCCGGAACTGGGGAGCTACAGTTCATTGAGGGAACCATGACTGCCAACATGTGCTGTGACATGCTGAAGCAGAGCATGATCCCCTCCCTTCGGAGACTGGGCCGCAGGGGAGTATTCCAACATCATAATGATCCCAAACACACCTCCCAAATGACCACTGCCTTGCTAAAGAAGCTGAGGGTAAAGCTGATGGATTGGCTAAGCATGTCTCCAGACCTAAACCCTATTGAGCATCTGTGGGGATCCTGAAATGGAAGGTGGAGGTGCGCAAGGTCTCTGACATCCACCCGCTCTGTGATGTCATCATGGAGGAGTGGAAGAGGACTCCAGTGGCAACCTGTGAAGCTCTGGTGAACTCTGTGCCCAAGAGGGTTAAGGCAGTGCAAGAAAATAATGGTAGCCACACAATATATTGACACTTTTGAGCCCAATTTGGACACCTGAGACTTGTGACACTAATGGGAGTCTCATGACAGCAGGAAAGGAAAACTCCTACCTGGGCCCAATTTGGACATTGTCACTTAGGGGTGTACTCACTTTTGTTGCCAGCAGTTATTTTAAGGGGACAGCACATTTACACTGTCCTACAAGCTGTATCCTCACTGCTTTACATTGTCGCAAAGTGTCATTTCTACAGTGTTGTCACATGAAAAGATATAGTAAAATAT